GTGCAGAGGGGAAGAGACGCTGACTGTGTTACCTGCACTTACTGTTCCAGGGGCCTGTGGCAAAAGAACTGAGTGGATTGCCATCGGGACCCTCCGCTGGATCGGGTCCTCCTCCCCCCCCACCAGGCCCACCTCCCCCTCCAGCCCCCACCAGTTCAGGCTCAGATGAGTCTGCTTCACGCTCAGCACTGTTTGCACAGATTAATCAGGGGGAGAGCATCACACATGGTAAGTGAATGCTTTGGCAAGAAGAGTTGGTGAATAAGTTGTTTTGGCAAGAACTTACCAACTAGAGACCTGACAGTCTGTAAACCAGAACCGTGGTTTGTATATGGGAGATTCATTTGGGGTGTCACATTCCTTCAGGTTGCCTAAAGGGATAGCAGAGCTGGCTCAAATGGAAATTGACAATGGCTCATTATAGTTGGGGGAATCTCTCTCCCCAGAGGAAAGTGATTTAATATTAAGGGGCATATACAGAGTACCTACCCTGTGGTGCCAAGACATGGTGCTGGCCGTTTTCCCCAGAGCTTTTTCCCAGTTACCATGCGGTCTCTTCAGGAGGTCATCTTGGAGGGGGTGGTTCACGTCCTCAGAGGGTGTATGTTAGTCATATGGAAAATTTGCGTAAGAATGACCTGATGTTGGTGTAGAGAAAGTAGACACCCTTATACACAGTAGGTGGAAGTCTAAATTATATAGCAGTCTCCTAGGAATCTACCTATAAAAACACTGGAAGAACAACTTTTATACATTGTTGTTCACAGTAGCTAAAAATGGTGTAACAACCTGTATATCCCACTGTAAGAGAAATGGTTAACTGTGGTATGTTCCTCTTGACGCAGTACTATGCAGCCATTAAATCTTTTTCTGCAGTGAACCATGCAGTGTTTAGGAGTGGTGGAGCTGAAACGCCAGTATTGGTTATATAGATTGGGCCGTGTCCACAAGCAAGGCACGTGTCAGCCTGTTGAGGGTGATTATCGAATGTTTTTCCTTAAAAAAAAGATTTTTATTTATTTATTAAATATATTTATTTACTTATTTTTGGCTGTGTTGAGTCTTCGTCGCTGCACTCAGGCTTTCTCTAGTTGGGGCAAGTGGGGGCTACTCTTCGTTGCGGTGCACAGGCTTCTCATTGCGGTGGCTTCTCTTGTTGCGGAGCACGGGCTCTAGACGCGTGGGCTTCAGTAGTTGTGGCATGTGGGCTCAGTAGTTGTGGCTCACGGGCTCTAGAGTGCAGACTCAGTAGTTGTGGCTCATGGGCTTAGTTGCTCCGCGGCATGTGGGATCTTCCTGGACCAGGGCTCGAAACCATGTCCCCTGCATTGGCAGGCGGATTCTTAACCACTGCGCCACCAGGGAAGCCCCCAAAAAAGATATTGTTAGAAACTATAGGTTAACTTGAGAAAATTTTTATTGTGTTAATTGGTTAAACCAAATTTCTTAACAGTGTGCATGCTTATATCTAAATAAAAAACAACTGAATAGAAAAATTATTGGAAGGGGAGTTTCAAATGCTAACACTGATTGAAGGTCGTAGGTTAGCTGTGAGGGTTTTTTTCCCTTTACCAAATTTTCTTTATTATCACATACTACTTTTTCTTCCTCTGTTGCTTTAAAAACTACGTACGTATTTTGTGAGTATATACTGATACTTAGTATGTCTTTCTAGATCTTTTTACATACCCATCCCCCCATACACACACATTCCACTTTTTTTTTTTTTTTTTAGTGGAACTTTATAATTTAATCTTGGGGTAGAAGAAAAATTATAAAAGTGCTTCTCCAAAGCTGTGTGTGAGAGAACATCTCAAAGGCTCTGGTTTGGGGCTTTGAATTTTTTCTTAAGGATCAGTTTAACTTCTGATAGCAGAAGTTGGTTATTGCCTCAGCCCAAAGCCCTGGTATGAAGGACAGGAACAAGGCAGCTGTTGTTCTTACAGCCCTGAAACATGTATCTGATGACTTGAAGACTCACAAGAACCCTGCCTTGAAGGCTCAGAGTGCTCCAGTACGAAGTGGCCCCAAACCATTCTCTGCATCTAAACCAGGAGTCAGTCCTTCCCCCAAACCAGTCACAAAGAAGGAGCCAGCTCTACTTGAACTGGAGGGCAAGAAGTGGAGAGTGGTGAGTTAAAAATGCCAGGACTGGGGGAACAAGGAGTGGGGACAAAGCGATTAAACGGAGCACAGCCAAATGAGTACAGGGTTCTGGCTTAGATTGCAAGAATGAAAGTTTGGCATAGTCTGTGTTTTGGGGTGGCACGTGCTTAATGATGAGATTCCTAAAAGGGGTATCTCTTTAACAGGAAAATCAGGAGAATGTCTCCAACCTGGTGGTAGATGACACAGAGCTGAAACAGGTGGCTTACATATTCAAGTGTGTCAACTCAACATTGCAAATCAAGGGCAAAATTAACTCCATTACAGTAGGTGAGTTCTTGTTGTTGACCTAGGCAGGCTCTGTCCTAGAGCTTGAGAGGGCTGGAACCATACCTACCCTATTTCTAGAGATTCTTAAATTCTTAATTCTTAAATCGAGTACTTTCCTTTAAAGTTATACTGTTGACCCGCTCCCTTTCTTCTCCTAGATAACTGTAAGAAACTCGGTCTGGTGTTCGATGACGTGGTGGGCATTGTGGAGATAATCAATAGTAGGGATGTCAAAGTTCAGGTAACTTGATACTTGGCTCCTTCCTTTAGTCCCTGAGGAATTAATTGAAAGAGACACAGCCGACCCACAGATGTTGCTGTGGTGGGAATCTGACTCTACAGAGTCTGTAAGCTGAGCTGCTTTGGATGTGGCAGGAAGAGTTGGCCCTTATCATGAGCTCTTTCCAGTACCCATTCTCACCCGCCCCTAGTATCCAGTGTCTTGTACACCTGTGAGTTTTTCATGTAATCCCGTGAAACAGTGAAAGCTTTTCCCACAGCTAACTTGTTCTGCTGGCTGCTGGGACTCAATGCTCTTGGTTTCCCCTGCAGGTAATGGGTAAAGTGCCAACCATTTCCATCAACAAAACAGATGGCTGCCACGTTTACCTGAGCAAGAATTCACTGGATTGTGAGATAGTCAGTGCCAAATCTTCTGAGATGAATGTCCTCATTCCTACAGAAGGCGATGACTTCGTAAGTTCCTTGATCTCTTTAGTAGTATGGTCTGAAATCAGAAGGGGCTGAAGACTTGCGTTGGAGGAGAAGTCTTCCAGCGCAGCTGATGGACACTCTGCACCAAGTGGGTGCAGCCCAGCAGTGCACACCTCAGGCACAGACACATGAGGTAGTCCCACGAAGTAGACCCCCAAAGGAGTGTGGTTTCTGCCTTTCTTAGGCAGAGGAGATGCTCAGGGTAGTCAAAAAGGAATGGGATTGAATCACAGCACCCTATTGAGCTGGTGCCATGAAGCCATACACATTCCCATCTACGCCTCGTAGGTTTAACAGTCTGCAAGGTCACTGATCAGTGAACAGTAAGAAACAGGCTCAAACCTACATCTGTCTAGCTTTGGAGCCTTTGTTCTCGTTCCTACACTGCGCTGCTGCTTCACTGTCAGCGGTGGGGGAGGTGGTCTAGAAGATGTGGCGCTGCTAGTGCGCTGCCAGTTCCATGGCCTTGCTTTCTCAGGTGGATTCAGCTTCTCTCTCATTACATCCTACTTGCTCTCAGAGTTTAGTGCGAGCAAGCATTGGGAGAAAGTTAAGATTTAATTAACCCCAGGGTATTGCCTAGCTTGGGCTTAAACCTGTTGTTTCTTTATTTGCAGAATGAGTTCCCAGTCCCTGAGCAGTTCAAGACCATATGGAATGGGCGGAAGTTGGTCACCACAGTGACAGAAATTGCTGGATAAGTGAAGTGCCACTGGGTTCTTTGCCCTCTCCCTCACACCGTGGGATAAATCTGTATCAAGACGGTTCTTTTTTAGATTTCCTCTACCTTTCTGCTCTTAAACTGCTTCTCTGCTTTGAGAAGCACAGCTACCTGCCTTCACTGAAATATACCTCAGGCTGAGATTTGGGGTGGGATAGCAGGTCTTTGATCTTCTGCAGGAAGGTGCAGCTTTTCCGTATCAGCTCAACCATACAGCCAGTCCATTCTTCAGGAACTGCACATCAGGACAGGTGTGTTTTAGCTTTCAGCCTTTGGGGTTATTTGGGGAAGGATAAAGCAGTCCCCAGGAATTAACAGATCACAATGTTCACACAAGTTAATCTTTTTCTAACAATGAGCGTGAAGGTAGCAGAAGCTGGTGTGATCCTAGTTGGTTCTTCTAACTTAAACTAATTTTCACTATTGACAAGTGAGGCAAGGGTTTGTACGGGACCAAAGGCTGAAGCTTGGCCATCTAGCATTCCAAGCAAAATGATTTCCTGTAAGCATTCCTTTTCTTCTGCATTCCATCCTGCATCTGCCCGAACCTGAGATAGTAGGTTGTCCTGTGTTAGCTGCTGTGGTGGTGCCCTGCACCCAGGCCAGCTAAAGGAGTCTTGGACCCTTCCTCTCTCTGGGGCCCCTGCCCAGCACCTTCCTACAGAGACGACTTAAAAAGAGAGAAAAAAAAAGGAAAACCACACCATTCCCAGGAATCTGGCTTCCCTTCCTCCTTCCATGCTGGGTGCCCATCATCCGTCTTCATTGCTTCCTTGCCCTGTCATGCTCAACAGCTTTTGGCTTCTGTCAGGGCACCTGAACAGAGGACTAAAATCTCCATTGCAGGCTGGTTTTAGGTCTTGTGTAAAAATCTTGCACAGCATTGCTAATGTAAATTTCAGTTTTTCCTCTAGGACAAACACTTTACCAAAATATGCAACTTTTTTTGGTGGGAAGAGAGATTGTCCTGTGATTTCTACCCATTTCCTGAGGCCTGCGGAAATGAACCTTTATGTACTTAAAGTTATACAGAAAATAGAATAAAATTAATACCAAACTTGCTTAGTATTTATGTATGATATTTGCTGTACAGAGATGTAAGGACTTCGAAAAGAAAAATGACACCAAGGATAAGAAACTACTCTTTATTTTAAACAACTTCATAAAATTATTTTCACACGTCCCCACTTCTTGCCTTTCATCCTCTTAGTTGAAAAGTCTTGAGAGAGGTGAAAGAAAAATCACAGAGGGTAAACTTTGCAGCACTAACAAAGTGCTTCCCTCAAGTATAGCTACCCAATTCCGTAAACTGGCGTTCCGCAGAACAATCTTCCAAAAAGTGTTGCTAGGTTTTCATGGGATAAGGGATTGGGGGTTAAGATGTCCATGCTCAAATAGCGTGGGAAACGGTAGATTAAGGTTAGTTTTCTTTACTGTAACAGGAATTTTCAGAGTCCTTAATATTCTAAGGTGGGTTGATCTTCAAGAGGAGAAAAGGGATATGGAATACTCTCTAAGCTTTTTGAGCACTCTTTTTTTCACAGAACACATCAGAAGCAGTTTGAAGTGTGCGGTAATCTCAAATTTTTGAGATGGAAGTTAGAAAGCCTGATCTCTTCGCATTTTTCCTCCCATTCTTTGCTAATGCCAGCAATAAAGTGACTCTAGAATCCACACCACTAGTCATATTTAGAAAGGGCAGGTTCATCAAGGATGGAATGGAAAGAACTAACTACCTCCTCCTATTTTTCTTTAAACCTCCCCCACCCCATCTAAGTTAAGCAATATGTACACTTCCTCCCTTAAGCAATCCAATTGGGTGCTAGTTCCCTCCTTTTGTGACAGAGCAACAAATTCATCACTACCTGAGGAGACAAAAAAAAGTGCTACCAAGGGAAGATGGTGGACTGCCTGAATTTGTCTAATAATAGCTAAGACACCACAGAAAGCAACACAAAGAGGAGGACAGCCTCAAGAAATTATGTGGACACATCATCCAAGCAATACTACTTCTCCAAGCACTGGTCAAATCTCCACCAGCACAACTGAGAAAGCATTTATGTGAATACCTTAGGTCTGGGTACTGGCCTCTTGGCTTGAGATGTGGCTACATTTTCCTGAGGAAGGCATCTGCCTTAGACTCTATCTCATTGGTTTAGTTTGTTTAGTCTCTTCCGGGCCTGGGCACAGTTCTGCCACTGACCTGCAGCAAACTCCTGATTCCTAAAACACTGACCACATCAAAGGGTTGTAAAACAATCTCCATGGTTATTAGCTAATTAAACTTGCATTCAACACCATATGCTGATAGGATGAGGCAAAGGATAAGATTCCTATCTTGGATCTTTCCAAGCAGGGCATGTTAGACGGTGACAAGAGAAGGATTAGTTTCTAGCTGCATCTGAGCTCAGGCTTGGGCATGGAGGGAACTGGTTTGGAAGTGTGAGGGGTTCCCTGAGCTCTGGTGCAAACTACAAGGGTTTCACTCAAGGAAGGGTATGATGTGGGCATAAAACCATGCTTCAGACAGTTGAAGATGGTCCCCTTCGAGAGCCAGGAACACCAGCTGTCCTGCATTGTCCATTGCCTTTAGCCCCAGGCGGTCCTGCGGAGAGAAAGGCCATAATTAATCAAGAGGCTTAATGAAAAGCTTCACAGTGAAATCGTAAAGAAAGTTAACTTGAGATATATTCTCAAAATGCAGTCTTTTTTCTTTTGAGTATTAAAATTTAGGTGCATTGTTGAAAATGCCAAAAAGGATACTTGCCTCCAGTTTTTTTCCTAAGCATTAAAAATGTATGTGCAATTGAGGTTATTCTTCTATACAGTTTTATATTCTGCTTTCTGAAAAGTTTCCCAAAGCTTCTGGAGGACCACCTATGAGTGGGCAAGCCATGGACAAAACTGCCTCAAAATGTCAAGTTAAGTGGGACTGAGCTAAAGACAAGAGAACATTAGCTAGATAACTTACAACAGATCCAACCCTTAGATAACAAAACTCAGACACTTTCATATCCTGTAGCTGAACATGTCATGACCCACAGCTGGAGTGCTGAAGAACAAGTATGGGTGGGAAGATGAGCAGTTATGATGGTGCCAGAATGTTGCTTCTGCTGTAGCTACCATCAGTTTGAGTTTCATGACAAGTTCTTAGTTGTAATATCCAAAACTCTTAACAGATCCTAGCTTCCTTTTACCTCACCCAAGATGGGGCACCAGATGCAGGAGAAAAGCCAAGAGATGACAATTGGTCTCTGAAATTACTTGGAGGAATCTGAATAGAAAGAAGGCAAGTGGTTCAGATGTAACACTTCTGCATTTTTGGGAGAGTATCTCCCAAGATAAAAGCCTTAAGAGTACGGAAGGCCTCAGAACTGGAGGTGGTGAAATGCTGCCACCTGTGCTTGAGAAACAGGACCTACTGCTGAACAAAATTCACAGCTCTGTTCCTCAGTCTCCTGCAGGAGGAGCTCCCCATGTCAGTGCCTGATTTAAAACAGGACTTGCGCATCTGTTGTTTTAAAGTAACAGCCCTCTATGTTTCTGTCACGCGTGGGGGCTTCTTGGGTTTGTAGTGGACTACACCTCAGCAAAGGAAGCTGGTTCTAAACCTTGTTATCAGAAGGAAGGAGTCAGAGATGATGTGTCCCTTGTACATGCCTGAAAACATGACGTACAGGTCCTTCAACCTTCAGGATGTAGGCTTCGGTAAACCAATGCCTCGTAAGCTAGTGCAACAGTCAACAGCCTAACAAGCCTCGTCCACATCAGACACGAGTCAGACGCTTCTTGAGCACCTGCTGTGCTGGGGTGTACAAGACAAGGTCTGTCACCAAAGCACCTAGCAGCTTCCGGAAGCAGGAGCTGAAAAGGACTGCGCCTCTCTTCCCCAGTTACCTGTGTGTACAGGGTGCTCTCCTGTAAGGGAATGGTTTCCTTGGCTTGGCCACTTCTGTAAAATCCAAACCACTGCAGGAGAGAAGGAAGAAATGAGGTCAGATCAGACACATGGCGCATACTGCCAAACTGGTTTAAGACTGGCTAGTAGCTAAGACTACCAACAAACTGAACACCCTAACACTGCAGCAAGGAGGGAAAACAGCGTGTCTTGAGTCATCTCTTCTTAAGGGTGGGTCCTGAGGTATGAGTTAATCATTCCAAAGAGCTTTCCAACTCCCCAGAATTGCTGCTTCCTACAATTATTGAGCACCTACTCTGTGAAAATCCTTGTGCTGAAGTCTAAATATTCAAAGATGAATATGTATACAGTCCCTGTTTGCAAGAAGCTCTAGTCCAATGCACAGAAACAACTAACTGTTCAGCATGGGGGTCAGCAAACTTCCATAAAGACCAAATACAAAATATTTTAGGCTTCAAGGGCCACGTGGTTGCAGCTACTAAATGCTGCCATTGTAATGCAAAAGCTGCCACGGGCAATATTTCTGGAATGAATACGGCTGCATTCTAATGAAACCTTATTTATAGACACGGACATTTGAATTTCATGTAATTTTCACATCATCAAATATTCTTTTGACTTTTTTCTACCATTTACAAATATAAAAACCATTTTTAGCTTGTGGGCCATACCACTGCATGTGGCAGGCTGGATCTGGCCCACAGGCGTAGTTTGCCAATCCCTGGTGCTCTGACACACTGTGATGAATGCTGATAGAACAGAGGCTGATGATTCTTTAAAAGAGGGAGCAAAGGCAATTCCCTGGCGGTGCAGTGGTTAGCACGCTGCGCTTCCACTGCAGGGGGCGTGGGTTCGATCCCTAGTCTGAGAACTAAGATCACGCGTGCTGTGCGGCGCGACCAAAAAAAAAAAAGCAGGTGGGCGGTAGCAAATTCTGCTTGGAAGAGGGGTGGCATCCTGGATGGAGGAAGTGACATTTGAGATTGGCTTTGACAGCTGAATAGAAGCTTGTCAGGCGGAGAAGCCCACAGAAGGGCGTTTTAGAGACTGAAAAGCATGAACAAAGGAACACAGACACACAAAAGAAAAAGCACATGCGAGGCCCGGGGCATTTCAAGTAATACAGTATGGCTTGATGAGAGAGGATATGAAGTGGTCATGCGGTTAAGATTAAGTTGGAAAGACAGGTCGAAGACAGGTCAAGGCACCTTGAATGTGAACCTCAGGAATTTTATAGACTTTGGACTCGTAGTTCTGAACCTTTTTTGGATCACGGATCTCTGAAAATCTGATAAAAATTATAGACCCTTCCTCAGATGGTGCAACTACAGTTGACCCTTGAACAACATGGGTTTGAACTGCTCCGGTCCACTTATACGTGGATTTTTTTCCAATACTGTGGATGCTGAGGGCCGACTATAAGTTATATGTAGATTTTTGCCTGTGCAAAGGGTCAGCGTCCCTAACCCCCACGTTTTTCAAGGGTCAACTAAGTTTGCACACAATTTGGGGCGGTTGGGGGGCTACAACCCTCAGTGTCCCATTTATAGACCTCAGAACCCCTGCTCTACACAAAGGTGGGTGAAAGGGACTGACAGTTTTTCCCAGCAGGCAGCTGTGGGCTTTTATTCGTTTGTTTGTTTCTTGTCTTTTTTTAGTTTCGCCGCACTCGGTCTTTGTTGCGGCGCGTGGGCTCTTCATTGCGGGCTTCTCTCTAGTTGCAGTGTGCAGGTTTCTCTAGTTGTGGCATGTGGGCTCCAGGGCACATGGGCTCAGTAGTTGCGGTGTGCAGGCTTCTCTCTAGTTGCGGTGCGCGGGTTTAGTTGCCCTGCGGCGTGTGGGATCTTAGTTCCCCGACCAGGGATCAAACCTGTGTCGCTTGCATCGGAAGGCGGATTCTTAACCACTGGACCACCAGGGAAGTCATGCAGCTGTGTTTTAATGCCATTTACTCTGATGGTCTCCTGGCATGTTGTGGCCTAAGCAGCATCTCACCTCAGAATCCACGGGGTCCACAATGGAATCGTTGAGGAATTTCACCATCACAAACTTCTTCAGGGCCATCAGGTTTTTCTTGTAGGACTCATTGACACCCTGGAGAAAAGGCGAACAGTAAGTACCTCAGGGACACCGCCATCGGGTTATAGCTGGGGAATTAAAACCTTTCAGTGCTCTGGTCTCCCTGACCCTGGGCCACCATGTTTCTTCTCCATGGTATGGGCTGCTTTTCTAGCTTCTTTCCCAGAATATACCAGGTACAGCCTTTTCTTACCATCCTATCTGACTGACAATGCTCCCACCAACCATGGCATACTGGTGCCACCATGAATCCGTCACTGCACTCCAAAGGCCCCCATCACATAGGCTCAAGGCTTCTAGCCAAAGAAAGCCAAGGCAAAATAAGAAACTACAAACTCTGAGTGGTTCTGCTATACTATTCTATTCCCACCGACCCCCTTCAAATTCTGTTTTTGTTTGTTTTAAACCTCCGGATAAGCCCAATATAAATTGAGCCATCTAGTTTACCAGAATCTCCCAAAGCATGCTCATCTTTGGGACACACTCAGTCCCCTCTGCAGTCTCTCTTCTAAGTAAATTACTCTTCTGAGAAAATATGACCCAAAAAGGATCCACTAGAAAGGCTTCCCTCAGTAAGGCAGCAGCTGAAGTTCCAATGTAAGCCAGCCAGCACCTACTGAGCTCACCCTGCTGATTCAACACTGGGAAAGAGGAAGAACCTACAGGAAGAAAGCCACATGAATTTCAGCCTCCCTAAAAGGAACTGAATCTCATAAGCACCGCCTCCCAAAAAACAACTTCTTGTTTCCTGGGATATTCTGCCTGGGATATTCTGAGTAAACGGTCACTGCTAATCTGTTTATAATGCCCCAAACAGGAAAATGAATGCACATCTATGGTAGCCTGGGTTGGGTGCTTACTCTCTCCTGATTAATATCTGCCAAGAAGATGCTGTGGTTGCGGTATATGTCCTCCTTTATGGGGTCGTGCCAGTATTCTGCTTGCACCAGGCTGTGGGAGGAAAAGAAAGAAAGGTGACCAAGCTGCACTTCGGTCAGCACTCCCGGGGCATGCCCCTGTGCACAGGCCACCAAGAGACTTCAAAGGGACAAAGGACCAGAGCCTTCTGTTCCCCCTGCCTGATCCATTTTTTCTTAGCATCTCCTATGCTCCTTCTCGTCGTTGAGATCCCAGCTTAAATATCTTTTCTTCAAAGACCGTTCTGTCCAAAGTAGGCACCTCCTCCATTACTGTCCATTGCTGCCCCGTTTCTTTCTGCCACGGGCTTAGCGCTGTTATCTAGTGCATCTGTTTACTTGGAGACCCCTTTTCCCCAAGTAAACAGAGTATGTTACCCTAAATGTCTTATTTACAAGAGCATGTTACCCTAATTGTCTTATTCTCCACTGTATCTGCAAGACTTACAATGGGGCCTGGCGAACAGTAATAGTTCAGTACTTGATTAAATTATGAACAAAGTATTTTAAGTGCGACTAAAACTTAGAGACAACACAACCACTGCAATACTTATAAATAAAGGAAAGAGAAAGCTAAAGTTGAATAAATATTTTCAACACAGCACCACTAGTGGTACCAGCCCAACCCTGCCTACTAACTAGGAGCTGAGCACTGCACTGAGAGCTTCACACTCCATTGGTCTAATCCTCACAGCAACCCTTCAGGAAAGCACTATTAGCCTTGTGCTGGAGGTGAGAAGTAGGCTCAAGGACATCCAAGGCCACACAGCTGGACAGTGTAGCACTGAGCCTCTCCAACAACCCCCTAGAGAGAGAATATGGAAGGCCATTTCTTTTATTTTCCCTTCACATTTGATTGCTACTTCCAGGTTCAGTAGAGAATTCTACATTGGAAATCATTTTTTCTCAGAAGCCAAAGGTACTGCACCACTGCCTTCTAGCTAGTAGTTTTGCTGTCAGGGAGTCAGTGTGCGGCCTCACGGGGCTCTGCCCTTTACCCCCAGTGTTCTGACACTTCACGGGAATATACCTGGATGTGGGTCTTTTTTCACCCCTGACTATTTGGTGAGCCCTTTCGATGTGGAAACTCATGTCCCATAGTTCTGAGAAGCGTTCTCATATTACTTCTTTGATAATTCCAATCCACTCTTTCCTCTGTTCTCTTTTTGAAACTCCGATCAGGCAGGTATTAAACTTCTTGAACGGCTTCTCTAATTTTACCCGTTCCCCTCTTTTTTCTACCTCATTGAGATTTTGTTCTAATTTCCAAGAAATGTCCTCAACTTTATATTCCCATACCGCTAACAGATTTTTGTTCTGGTTATCTTATTTTTAACTTCCAGGATCTCTTTCTCTCAGATGACTGGTTTTACTTGCATTCTCTTCTAGCATCATGGATGATCTCTTATCTCTGAAGATAATAATACAGGCTTTTTTTTTTTTTTTCTTAAGGTTTTCTTCAGCTCCTTGAATTGCCATCTGTTTCTTCCAAGTTCCTTTTTACTTTTTGCTTGTTTTGGTCTTTCATTTTGGAAGCTTTCCCCAGATGTCTGACTGGGGGTCCTTGGGTCACTGTTCATATTTAAAGAAGCTGACTGAAAGTTCTTCATGCAAGAACAGAGCTTATCTACTGGTGGCTTGACTACGTGGTAGTCAGGAGGAGTCCTAACTTCTTGAAGGATTCCAAAACATGAACCTATAGGTCTTTTCTCTGGGACCAATCAGTTTTTTCAAAGAGGGATCCGTCAAACTTCTGCCTAGCAGGTAATAAGCCTGGCTGCTATCATTCTAGGAGCAGAATGGGACGGGGTGGGTTTTCAATATGGTGTCTTACCACTGTCAGGTGCTTGTTATCTCGAAGTCTGGTACTACTTTTTTTTTTTTAATTAATTTTTTTTGTTTTGTGGCCATGTGACACGGCATGCGGGGTCTTAGTTCTCTGACCAGGGATCAAACCCATGCCCCCTGCAGTGGAAGCATGGAGTCCTAACCACTGGACGGCCAGGGAATTCCCCTGGTACTTCTTTTTTTTTTTTTTTTTTTTTTTTTTGTGGTACGCGGGCCTCTCCCGTTGCGGAGCACAGGCTCCGGACGCGCAGGCTCAGTGTCCATGGCTCACGGGCCCAGCCGCTCCGCGGCATGTGGGATCTTCCTGGACCGGGACACGAACCCGTGTCCCCTGCATCGGCAGGCGGACTCTCAACCACTGCGCCACCAGGGAAGCTCCCCTGGTACTTCTTTAGTCAAACTGCTCCAGAAAATAAATTTGGCTTCTCTTGTCAGGGTGGAGGAAGAGCAGTCACTTGGACGTGCATTTCAGGGAACTAAGGAGTTTGATCATTGTTTATATAGATTTTCAACAAAAAGTCCCATGCACTTACTCTACCTTCCAAGATATCTTAGGCATCTAATTCCTGAGTCTTTCTGGGACTGTAAAAAGTGAAGCTGGTTCCTTCTTGTCAGTGTATCCCTCCACAGACATAAAGGTTTCAGAATTTTCTGCTCTACTAAAACAGTTATCACTCATTAATTTGCTTTCTGTCTTTAAAAAAAAATGTTGACGTCTTTTATTATCTCTTCTCTCCTCTCCTGTTCTCTTTGCCCTTGTGGGTTTATCACTTTTTATTCTTTTGCTACCAGTTTATTAAAGGTTAAGAAGGAAGTGAAGATAAACACATCCATGTACCACTTTTAATCAGTACTTAGGTGTCACTGTCCCCCCACCCCCCAGCTGACTGCTCCTCTACAGTCAATAATAATCCCAATTGTGTTTGGTTCACCAAAGAAGGAAACACAAAGAAAGAAAAGGGTGGATTCTTTCTGAGGCATCTGGGCAATAGTTAGAAGAATAAAGAGTAAAGAATAAAGAACAATGTAGCTTAAACAGATCATACATACCCATGAGAACAGAGAATATTGGGACATAAATAACCAAGCTGTGACTAGACAAACCAGGGAAGGGGTAAAACTTAGCAGTGGTTTGAGTTGCCTGAGTGGGTAGGAGGTCGAGATATAAAGTCTCTTAGTTTCCTTCACTGACCATCAGGTGGCACTGTTGACCCAAGACAGCTTTGTGGCTACACGTGTAGCCAGCCAATGGGTAGGAAAGGAAAAGAGAGCTAGCTGCAGGTCTTTTCTACAGGCCAGTCATTCACAAGGCTGTACCTTGGACAGGCCTTCAAGGAAGTGGTGTATTGAAAAGCTGCTATCAAACAAGAATCATACACTTGGAAGACCCATAGGATAGATACCAAAACCATACTAGTTGATCCCAAATCTCAGTTATCACCCAGAATACTCCAGACCTACTGAATTCAAATTTCTAGGGATGGAGCCCTGGAATTCATTTTTAATGAATTTCCCAGGGGGTCTGATGTATAATTTAAGTTTGGAAACAACTGAAGGAGAACACACTCTGAAAGTGATTTTGTATATTTTTAAGTATCCAAACACAGGTAGCTAAGGACATTGACGTAGGAAGCTAACCCCTCATTGCTGACAACAGAAAGAATCTGTCCTCCAAATATTAACAGCAATTCCTTGGGCTTACTACTTTCTAAAGGCTTTTTTGGTTTTATTTTTACAGATGAAAATGTATTGTTGTGGGGACTTCCCTAGTGGTCCAGCGGTTAAGACTCTGCACTTCCACTGCTGGGGACCAGGGTTCAATCCCTGGTTGGGGAACTAAGATCCCACACGCCTCGTGGCATGGCCGAAAAGTAAAAAAAAAAAAAAAAAAAAAAGTTTTTGTAATTACAGTCTTCTTTTATAGAAAAAATGTCTTCCTCTCCTTTAAATTAATAGAGCAGTTTTAGGTTTACAATAAAATGAAGCAGGTAGTATAGACATATTTACAATAAATATCTCATTTGAAAATCACTAGCAACTACTCCTAGAATCACGGTTAGCATGAAAGTCAGCATGATATTTTCATTAGTGACTGTTCTGCATCCTTTTCAGCTAACCATACATACCGTTCTTGTATAGCTTTGTTGTAAGCTCCAGCATTCAGTGTTTTTCTGATCAAGTCACAGATGTGAGAGCTCTCTCCTGGGCACCGAGGGAGTCCAAAAACACCTATAGTAGTAGAAGACAAACATCCATGCCTTCAGTAGTCATGTACTGAATACCTACTATGTGCAGGGCATTGCAAGAAACAAAACCAGAACTAGACCCTGATCTTGTTCATTTATTCCTCAAGAAAATAGTGTTTTGAGAATTAATACTATAACCAGCTTCCTCCTGGTGTTCCCACACTCTTTTCTGCCTCAGGACCTTTGCATCTGCTTCTCTCTGGAGTATGTACTTCTCTTACTGCTTCAATGGCTGGCCTCATTCTCATCTCTTGGGTCTTGGTTTAGAGAAGTCATACCTGAGTGCCCTAACTCAAGCAGTGCCCAACCCCAGTTCCTTCCCCTCCCCCAATTATACTTGCATCCTCATCATCCTCATTAATAACATTTTGGGGGATACCAGACATACCAGTTCTAAGCATATATTGGCAATAATTAATTTAATCCTCATAACCACCCTGCAGAGTAGAATCATTTGCACCATATTACAGATAGGAAACTTTTTTTTCTTTTTTTAAGGAAACTTTCAAACAGAGAGGTTAGATACCTTGTCCAAGGTTAGACAGTAAGTGATGGAGGCAGGATATGAACACAGGCAGTTTGGCTCCAGAGCCCACACCTTTCACCAATACAGCCACCATTCTTCCTATTGTCCTATTTTTCTTTCTTTATCATAGTTACCATTATCTGTATTTATTTTGTTTACCTATTTCATGTCTATTCTCCCCCCCACTAGAATGGAAGTTCCATGAAGGCAGAAACCTTGTCTGTCTTGTTTCTAGGTTTTTAATAAATATTTGTAGAATCAATGAATGAACGATAAAGCTGTTCCTACCAACTTGCATTTAAATAATACGTGTTCTTTAAAAAAGTATTTTCCTACCTATTATTTCATTTCATCCTCTGAAAAATTCCCACAAGATGGGCAGGGTCTTATTTTAGTTTCCCTCATCTGTGAAACAGACCTACGATACCGAATTACTTGCCCATCAGTAACCGTTAATTGGGTGAAGCCAGTTTCCTGATTATAAGGAGAATCCGTCTGTTCCTACACCCTACCAGCTAACAGCTATATCCATCAGAACAGAGATAACGTTCTATCCCAAAGACACATCTTCCCCCAAAAGTAAATAATTCTGTCTAAATAGCAAGCCTGTTGTTCTTTGAAAGATTTAATCTCTACTGTTAATTATAAAATTAACAAAAAGCCTAGACACTATTCTTTGCCTAAGTCTAAATTCAGTAGGACATCACCCATGTCAGAAAACAGGAAAGGCTATTGGGGGACTTCCCTGCAGGCACGGTGGTTAAGAATCCGCCTGCCAGCGCAGGGGACACGGGTTCGAGTCCTGGTCCGGGAGGACCCCACATGCCGTGGAGCAACTAAGCCTGTGCGCCACAACTACGGAGCCTGCGCTCTACAGCCTGCGAGCCACAACTACTGAGCCCACGTGCCACAACTACTGAGACAGCATGCCGCAACTACTGAAGCCCACGCGCCTAGAGCCCGTGTTCCGCAACAAGAGAAGCCACCACAATGAGGAGCCTTCGCACTGCAACAAAGAGTAGCCCTGCTCGCCGCAACTAGAGAAAAGCCCACACACAGCAACGAAGACCCAATGCAGCCAAAAACAAACAAACAAATATATAAATTTTTTAAAGAAAAGAAAAAGGAAAGGTTGTTGGACTTTCCTAACTCCTAAACCACCACCTGTTACATGGCTGCAACCACCTCACCTCCATGAAATCATGTCTATTAAATTAGAGAGAAGTAGGTGGTAACCTAATGATTCACCTGTGCTCCAGGCCTCTGGAATCCGATTTCATCATCTCTCCTGGCTAATTTACTATAAATTAGAAAAGCAGGATTTTTGCAAGGATGGCTGACTTCTTGTACAAATAGAGCTGCTAGAATTTTTTAGGCAAAGGGGACAAAGTTACCTTGATGTTGTCCCCCAACTGATATGAGATTGATCATAGGAGGTGATGGGCATCTCTGAGCCACTGCCCTCCTGGAGAAAAAAAAGGATTATCAGTTCCAACTGTCAGATGGAAATGTATCATCAACAATTAACTTCCCAGGGCTTCCCTGGTGGCGCAATGGTTGAGAATCTGCCTGCTAATGCAGGGGACACGGGTTCGAGCCCTGGTCTGGGAGGATCCCACGTGCCGCGGAGCAACTAGGCCCGTGAGCCACAACTACTGAGCCTGCGTGTCTGGAGCCTGTGCTCCGCAACAAGAGAGGCCGCGATAGTGAGAGGCCCGCACACCGCGATGAAGAGTGGCCCCCGCTTGCCACAACTAGAGAAAGCCCTCGCACAGAAACGAAGACCCAACATGGCAAAAATAAAGTAATTAATTAATAAACTCCTACCTGCAACATCTTCAAAAAAAAAAAAGAAAACCACAGCTTTTCTCCTTTAAAAAAAAAACAAAAAACAATTAACTTCCCAGATTAAGCTACTTAATCCTCTGTGGCTCCCCAAAGCCACAAAGTTTCAGGACTTTCCTCTGATACCGCCAAACAAATCTTTATTCCTTCACAGAAAATAAGTTAAGCTCCATAGAACTTCTTCCATGGGGATATTTTAGAAGAGTTTCCCTTCCAAAATAGGTGAAGATTCCAAAAGAAATGAATGGGTAGATCTATCTGAATCAAAGGGAAAAATAATCAGTTCCATGTAAGTGATATAACAAAAAGGGACTTACAGAAATTGGCCTCCCTGGGAGAATCCCATAGCATTGTAGCCTTGCTGCAATTCAGGATCCTTAGCAAGAATCTGACACACCGTTGTTACTTGGGAGTTGACGTTCAAAAAGAAGCTGTTCTCCACATCCTAAAAGAAGAGCCACAAGAAGTGAAAGGATGCGGCTGAAAACTCTCACTGGCACCTTCTCTAAGAGCAAACTTGTTTAGGTTGGTACCCTCACAGAAGCCGCTCAAGAACTAAAGTATCACTGTATGATCTGCTGCTAAAAATACAAGGTTAAGCATCTTAATCGTGTATTCTATGAAATCAGTCAGCAAACCTTCAAAGGAACAGAGCCGTGAGGGGCCTCACCTCTACCAGGGTCTTCCCAATCTCTAAAGACAAGACGTAAATTCCAGGTATTTTCTTCTCGACCATTTTCTTAACAGCGCCCATGCTTAAGGGATTACAACAGCTGTCTCCTAGAAAACAAAGGCAATCGTGGAAACTCATGAGTAAAAAAAAAAGTATTTTTTTAAAAAAACTTCTGTGCTTTAAAGGCATTAATGAAAATGTGAAAAGACAACATACAGAATGGGAGAAAATACTTGCAAAACATATACTTGATAAGGGTTTAATACATGGAATATACAAAGAACTCTACAACTCCACAACAAGAAGACAATCTAATTAAAATGGGAAAAGGACATGAACAGACATCTCTCCAAAGAAGATACACAAATGGCCAACAAGCACATGAAAATATGTTCAACATCAGTGGTCATTAAGGAAATGCAAATCAAAATCACAATGAGATACCACTGCACAACTACTAGGATGGCTTTAATTTTTTTTAATTAATTCATTTAAAAATGGAAAATAACAAGTGTAGGCAAAGATAGGGAGAAATAGGAACCCTTTACATTGCTGGTGGAAATGTAATATGGTGCAGCCACCATGAAAACAATTTGATGGTTCCTCAAAAATTTAAACATACAATGACCATATGACACACCAATTTCACTTCTGGATACATACCCAAGAGATGTGAAAACGTATGTCCCTACAGAGGTTTGTAGAAGACTAAAGCAGCATTATTTGTAATAGCTAAAAGGTGGAAAACACCCAAATGTCCATCAGTGGATGACTGGATAAACAACTGTGGTACATATATACAATAAAATATTATTCCACCATAAAAAGGAACAAAGTATTGACACATGCTACAATGTGGATGAACCTCGAAAACATTATTATAAGTGAAATAAGCCAGAGACAGAAGGTAACATATTGTATAATTCCTTTTATATGATACATCCAGAATAGGCAAATCCATTGAAACAGAAAGCAGACTGAACATTTCCTGGGGATGATGGGAAGTGGGGGATGAAGAGTGATTCCTTAATGGGTACAGGTATTTTCTGGGGTGATGAAAAAGTTTTGAAACTAGAGAGAAGTGGTGATTGTACAACGTGAATACACTAAATGTCACTGAATTGTATACTTTAACACGGTTAATTGTATGTTAGATGAATTTCACCTCAGCAACAACAAAAAGAGAGAACAACATGTTTTGCTCAGCTCACGTTCATCAGGTAATAACAAACTTCAAAAGCCCACACAATATAATGGGGACACCAAATTCACAACTGAAAATAAGCAGGGGTGCAGATTCCCTTATCATCTAGAACATTTGGGGTTAATAGACTCAAAAACACTTTGGAATCTGATTTCTCTTTAGGGCCAGGACTACAGTAAGACAAGTAAAGCGCCTAGGACACAAAATTTAAGGAGGTGCTAACTCTTGCGTTCATGTAAGTGCTGGCCTTGAACTTACATTTTGCTTTTTTTTTTTCCTGTTTCAAGGAACCAGAACTAAGAATAGGAAGCAAAGTGGCCACTGAGTGGGAGAACTGGGCTGAGATCATTTTCCATTTTGAATTTAATCATCCCATTTTCAACCTGAGAATAAGCTTAAGAATTTGTTTTTAAAGAAGGAAAAGGCCTCAAGCATCTTTGATTTCTTGCACTAAACTATAATTGCGGGTTACTTAACTGCCTCCCATACAGAGTGACTGTGCTCTGGGAGGGCACGGAGCTCCCCTGTTCTCCTTTAACTCCACTGTAGTAGCCCCAGGCCCTGGCACAGAGCCTTGAAAGAACTGTCTCTATTTACTGACTCTAATTCCACTCTGAACATTTTTCTTTAAGCCATTTCAAAAAGGCTCTCACTCTCACCACTCCGCTAAAAGTGCTTTTGTCAAGGTCATTAGTGATCTTCCTATTCCTAAATCCAATAACCAATTCTCAGCCCTCATCTTATTTGACCTGTCATCAACATCTCACAGTTTTTTACTCCCTTCCTCTTGAAACATTTTCATGTGGCTTCCAGGACTTTGCCCTCTCCTGACTCTACCACCTCCCTAGTCGTTCCATCACTGTCTCCTTTGCTAATTCCTCCCCATCTCCTCAACCTCCAGACCTGACTGCTTCAGGTCTCAGTCTTTAGACCTCTTCCCTCCTCTGTGTACACTCACTCCCTAGGTGATCTCGCCCAGTTCCATGGCTTTAAATACCAGCCATATGCCAAAGGCTCCCAACTTTAATCTCCAGCCTGTATCTGTCTTGGACTCCACACTCCAAATGCCTCTACATCTCCTGGATGTGTAACAAACAACTCAAATTTAGTAAGTCCAAAAGCAGACTCTTGGTTTTCATCCCAAATTTGCTCACCCTACAGGCTTCCCCATTTTGGTAAAATGACAACGTCATCCTTCTCACCGTCCAGGCCAAAACCCGTGGAATCATCCTTGACTCCTTTCTCATCCCACATCTAACCTGTTATCAAATCCCGTTGGTTCCATCTTCAAACTATATCCAAACTTTGATCACTTCTCAACATCTCCTCTATTACTAAACTGTTTCAAGTCACCATCACCTCTTGTTTAGATTACTGCAAAAGCTTCCTAACTTTTCTCCTTGCAAAGGTCCATGACCCCCTACAATCTATTTTCAATATAGCAACTAGAGTGCTTTTAAAGTGCAAATCAGATCATGTCACTCATCTGCTCAAAACCCACGAGAACTTCCCATCTCATTCTAGCCAAAGTTCCTGCAGCAGCCTTAGTAGGCCCAACGACATCAGCAGGCCACCCCCATCCCCCTCCCATCCCTGAACTAAACACCTATTTTCTTCCAGCTACAATGACCTGAATGCTGTTCCTTGAACATACCACCATACCTGACATACTTCTGCCTCATGGCCTTTGCATCTGCTGTTCCTTCCACCAGATATTCACACAGCATCTTCCCTCATCGACTTCAGGTCTTTGCTCAGGTGTCACTTTCTCAGTGAATCCTTTCCTGACCTTGCTCTATAAAACTGCAAGCCCCCACTTGCAGTCCCTATCCCCCTCTCTGCTTTATTTTTCTCCATTGCACATATCACCATTTGACATATTATATTACATTATTATATTATATTATAGTCTGTCTCTCCCACTGGAAAGTTCTAAAAGAGCAAAGAATTTAGTCTATTTCGTTGACTGCTGTATCCTCAGCATCCAGTAGGTATTCAATAACTATGTGTCAAATGAACAACTGGTGCCTAACAAATCTCTTCAATGTGTGAATGAACAAAAGGACGGATGCCCCGGTCATGCAGCCACAGCCCAGCCTTCCCCGAGCAAGTGTCTGATGCTGCACCCGGACGCCACTGCCATGGGGATTAAACCAGGACACCACGTAAAACCCTACCGCAGTGCACAGCACTCTGTGAGCGCTCACCAAAAGACAGCTCCTTCCGCATCTCCCTTTCCAATGCAGAGTAACCCCCAAATCCTAAACCGTGGGGACTGCCGGGCGCTGTGTGACCACGGTCCTCGCCCTCCACACTTGCACTTTGCAGAAGCGAACACAGGTTTGGAGAGGTAAAGAGTCGCCAAAACCTTTTGACTCTCTTCTCACTCCCTCCTTCACTTACCCATCCCATGCCAGATCACCAGAGGCAGCGGGGCCGGCGGGTCAAGATGCCCCAGCGCCAGGGAAGCGCAGGATCCCGGCAGGAAAGCGAGAGCCAAGAGCCACAAGGAGCTGGACGACGCCATCTTGACTCAATCACATGACCGCGCTCCTCTCTCCTGGGCCTGGCGCGGGAGGGGCTGGGCCGCAGCCTCCGTATCTCCGCATGGGAAGCTGCGCGGACTGGTGTCTGTCCTGGAGTGTTACCCTAGCGAACAGACCGCCAGCAGGAATCAAATGCAAGCCAACATTTATTCAGCGCTTCCTACGCATCAAACACTATTCTAAGCGCTTTACATCTGGTATCTGATTTAATCCTCGTAACAACGCCGAATACACTTCTCCCCATTTTATGGGTCAGGACACTGAGGCGCTGAGCATTTGGGTTTGGAACCAAGTTCACAGAGAGTAAATTGGCGGATCCAAAGTCTTTGCTCTTAACCTCTGCATTGCACTGCCTTTGGAAGGAAAGTACTTTGTGGAAGGAAGAAAAGAAGGAAGGACTCAGCTCTCTATCAGAAATTGAAGGGGAGGGATAATTTCCAGGGTTAATCATGGCAGTGTGGTATTCTCTATCATGAAGGAAAGCTAGGACTTCAACAGGCAAAGATGAAATGCGGGAGAAGGACTGTTATGAGTTAAGGTAGACAGGAAAGCTACCTGTTTTTTAGAAATGGCAGAGCTTGCAGATTGACAAGAGCATCTGATGGATGCAAGAGTGATGGAAAAAGCCACTGCCACTTCCTGGTCTAATCTTAGAGCTGGGTTATTGCAGGAAACTCTCTTCCACCATTTTACCCTTTTTCGTTTGCCTCCAGATTCATTATCGCAATCCACTTTCACCATTTTAGTTCCCTGCTCAAAAATTTTTTTTCGGAAAAACATTGAAATTGTTTAAATGGAGAATATGTTAAGTGAATTAAAGTGTATCCACTGTACAAAGGAATATTGTGAATCAGATTTTATAAAGGATAAGGTAAATTTGTATATAGTGACACAAAAAATGTTTTCTGTATATTGTAAAGGAAGAGCTAGTAACTGTATCTTTGCGAGAAGTACATGTGTTGTGGTGACGGTTGCACCACTCTATAGTTACCAAAAATCATTGGGTTGTACACATGAAACTGGTGAATTTTATGGTATGTAAAACCTACATTAAAACAGCTGTTTTTTAATCTATATATTCACGTGTTTCTAGTGATTTTGACTGAAAGGCCCAAGAACCGACAAGCAAAAAGAAAGAAAATAACTATACAGAAAGATCAGGGAACTGTTAAGAGTGATATTCTTGGGGCTGTATTATGTTGACTGAAGAAAAATGCACAACATGAGAGTTGTGTTAAGTTTTATTTGGGGCAAAGTGAGCCCTATAGTGAGCCCTGCATCCGGATGCAGCCTCTCAGTTAGCTCTGAGGAACTGCTCCGAAGAGATAAGGGAGAGGTCAGTATATATGTAATTTAGGTGAAGGGGGATGCATGCAGTCAAACACACACATTTTGGCAGAGGGTTGCTGCTAGTGACAAGAAGGTAGCTGCTAGTCAGGAGGAGCAGATGTTTCTGTTAATGATTTCAGTGCTTTCCTGGATATGAGAAGTTGCAAGAAATTGGGCTCCTAAAATCTTCTCCCGAAAATATCTAACTATCTGGAGGCCTGTTCTGCCAGTTTTTTCAAGTGCAGAGTGCCTCATTCCTGATCTCCACCCTGAACTCCTTTCAGGGGATGTTGAAGGTCAAAGACTGCAGTGGCTAGTGACTTCATTCTTGTAGGGTGACATGATGAGCAACAATTTTTAGCTGACAATTATAAGGAACTTTCATTTTTTACTTTATATGCTTCTGTATGGTTTGAATTTTTATAGGAAGGATACATAACTTCTATTTTTCCCAGGTTTTCCCCCCAGTTTTATTGAAATATAATTAAAACATTGCATTAGTTTAAGGTGGACAACATGATGAATGATATATGTACAGATACATAAATTTTATAATCAGAAAAAAGGATATATATGCATATATACATTAAAAATTATTGTATTTCTCAGTTAAGAAAATGGAATTCTCATAGACTCTGTTTCCACCAATACCCAAGAAAGTTTTAAAAGTTAAAATTTCATCCACGGCAAGCAAAGCGTTACAGCTCAGTATCTTAAATGTCAATAAGCGGCAATCAAGGAAAGAAATAGAAGATCTGGTCTGGAACAAGCATGTCACGGCTTCCAATCCTGCCTCCATTCCATCAAAACTCATACTGTTAGGTCCACAAAATCCTGGAAAATAACACATACATATGAGCATGTATTCCAAGAGAGAAGAAAATTAAGTGGTTTCCTTATCTTTTATCTCTTCTCTCTGGAAAAGTGAAAATAGCTACTGGGGAGATGAAGGTGGAGTGAGAAGTGAAGAATAGACTAAGTCTTTAGGTAGCAGTGAAGACTCCAGGAAAGCATACTGAATCGGAGGAGGCTCTTTCCCATAGGAGAGTGAATTCTGGAATAGACACTTAAAACCTCAGAAGTGATTGCAGAAGTTTGTATTCTAACAAAGACTGCACCTCACCTTCCCTGAGTTCTTCCCCCTCCCCTCCTTCAGACAAGCTTATAAGTCATAGAAAAAGTGCATACAGCATAAAATAAGAGCCTCAAGTTGCTGTTCATTAGGAAAACCAAACCAGTTTCAGATCAAGTGGGAAGGAATTCAGGAGGCAAGTAGAGAAACAGAAAAAATTCTCACCCCAAGTGCTTTGAGCACTAGAATAACCTAAAAAGAAAATGAGCTCAGTAGATGAAATTCAAAAATGAGATAATAAAACAACTGAAAGAGATGAATAGGGAAATTGCACATTTGATGAAGCGAAGACCAAAACAATGTCATTAAAGAACTAATAAATGCATCAAAATAGCAAGGAACAGAATAGACATGGCTGGAGGTTGAATTATTGATGTGGAAAAAGGCTTGAAATAATCACAATAAAGGGAAGTGAAAAACACTAAGAGATTAAAACAATCAGAGAGAAGCTACTAGATATGGAAGACAGAGGTTGTTTGTGTGCCTGGAGTTGAGAACTCTTAAATGGAACAGAAAAAGTATTCAAAAATTTAAGTACAGGGCTTCCCTGGTGGCACAGTGGTTAAGAATCCCCCTGCCAATGCAGGGGACACGGGTTCAAGCCTTGGTCCAGGAAGATCCCACATGCCACGGAGCAACTAAGCCCGCGAGCCACAGCTACTGAGCCCACGTGCCACAACTATTGAAGCCCATGTGCCTAGAGCCCGTGCTCCGCAACAAGAGAAGCCACCACAATGAGAAGCCTGTGCACCGCAACAAAGAGTGGCCCCCGCTGGCCACAACTAGAGAAAGCCTGTGTGCAGCAACAAACACCCAACACAGCCAAAAATAAATAAATAAAATAAATACATTTATTAAAAATATACATATGTACAGAAGTTCCTCTAAAATGATGAGTTAATCTGTAGCTTGAAAGGTCAAATATTTGATACAAAATATTTAACCCTGAGACATATTTTAGTTAATTAATTGAAATTCAGACATCCAGGCAGAAAAAAAGCAAATCACCTACAAGAAAAAAAGTCAGGCTGTCCTCAGATATCTCAAAAGCAACACTCAGAGACAGAAGAAGTGGAGCATTGTCTACAGAGTTCTGAAAGGACAAAAGTGTGATCCAAGAATAGTATAACCAGCCAAGATGTCATTCAAAAATAAAGGTACTGGACAGTTCCCACAAATATAAAAGAACTCATAGAAAAGGGAAATACTTGAAAGTGAAATTCAGCCAATTAAGAAATAGGGCAAAATTAAGATTTTAAGAATTGAGAAGTCTTGGTAAAAGGATGTGTGATGATCATTGAATCCATTTAAATACAGAATTAATAATGAACACTTGAATGAGTTATTGTTTTGGAGCATATATGTGTTATACAGATTAACAATGTAAAATACTATGACTAAGAAATATTGGCCCAATGGGAATGGGTTATGAAAGATAGGATGAGTGTGCCAATGTCCTGATCTTCCACATCAAGGTCAATTGATTTTAACTTAAAACATGTTTTTTGAAAACATTAGTAAGAATAACATAATATCAAAACCATTTTTTCTAACCTTAAATTGATATTTTAAAAAATGATAACTCTTGTAGTAAATAAACCCTTATTTGATGTCCAGCTTTTCTTTTAGTTTTTAAAAATTCTGTTAAATTTAACTAAGCTTAAATGCAATACTTTTTAACTTTTAAATAACACATATATTATGATACTATTTTTTAAAATTAGGTGTATCTATTAACACACCTATTTATCTACCATTCTATCTGTGTAAAAGCATGGAAAGATTTAGAATGATGCTAACCAACTGTTAATAATTGTTATTTTAGATGGTGGGTTTTAAGGGGTTTAAAATGTTTTCCCTGTGTGTGTGTTGCATTGCTTAAATTCTTTACAATGAAAATGTTATTTTTTATAAGAACAACAACTGAATTTTTCTTAAAGCAAAGCAAATTGAGAAACAAAATTTCAACACTTCTCCCTAGTCTTCATAATATGATTGATGCTTTTGTCTTCAAAAAAAACAAACTATCTTTCCAAACCTATCTCCCTTTAGTCTCAAATTAACAGGGCTGATCTATAAGAGATATTCCCTGAAAATCTCTGCTCTGCTCCTTTTCCCAAATAATTTATACCATCTTGAATGGGGTCACCATCCTTATTCCTGGCAAATACAGTCCATCGCACAAAGCTCAACCTCTGGTCTGTCTCTTCCATTGACCTCTTCAGAATTCACCCCCTGCCCAAGCATTTTTTTTTTTTTTTTTTTGGTACGCGGGCCTCTCACCGCTGTGGCCTCTCCCGTTGCGGAGCACAGGCTCCGAACGCGCAGGCCCAGCGGCCATGGCTCACGGGCCCAGCTGCTCCGCGGCAGGTGGGATCCTCCCAGACCGGGGCACGAAGCCGTGTCCCCCACATCGGCAGGCGGACCCCCAACCACTGCGCCACCAGGGAAGCCCCCCAAGCATTTTTTAATCAAATGGTTAAAGGTATCCATGTAGAGAAGTAGCAGTAGAGTTCTTACTTCCTCTGGGTTTGGTTTTAAGAGGAACCATTTA